TTTTGTTGTCGTTCGAACGTTGTATCCACAGTTCACAAATAAGCATGATGATCGCTACAAAGAGTTTTCTTTTACAAATTTTGCGTGTTTAATCACCTCGTGGTTGCTCCTCCTTTGTACAATCGTGTGTGCTACCTTATTTCACCGTGCATATCTCCTCGTATCGCTGATAGATCGAAGGAGACGTAGTAGTGAGCGAGTGAGAGTGTAAAGTAGATAGCGAACGAGAGAAAAAAAAAATAATAATTATCAAGGGAACCATACGTAAGAAAAAAAAAAATATATATATATATATATTGCGTGCGTTGGTTGTTGTAACGATCGTCCGGATGAGAGATAAAAGGTATGCACCGTAGAACGATGACGATCGAGATGCGAGGAAAGGAGGTAGAGAGAGATGGCGTATTACGATCGCGGTATACGGATCGATCGGCATCGGGCGCACGCACTACCACATGAACGTTTATATCTGATTTAGATCCTCGTACGGTGGTCATCGAACAGCCGTCGCATTCGTGCAAACTCTGCGGTAAAACGTTTTGGAATCGGGACTCGATGTACAAACACATGAACATGCACAAAGGAACGACGCAATGTCCGGTGTGTCACAAAGTGCTGAGCCGCACGACCCACATGAAGCGACATTTAAAAAATCGGCACGGCTGGCTGGGCGTCGGGACGACTGCCGCCGCCGCCGCAGCAGCGGTCGCGAACGCCGCCGCCGTCGCAGCAGGAGCCAGCAACGCAACCGCGACGACAGCCGGCGCAGTCGGTCCCGTTATACCGGTGGTGACCGGCGTGACGGGCGCCGCTACCGCCGTCGGCGACGCATCCGCCACCACGCCTATATCCGTCTCGTCCGCGGCGATCGCGCCCCGGAACGCCGGAAGTCCCACCCACGGCATCGAAACTAACGCCACCTATACCACTATACGGATCAGGGAGAGCAGCGTCGAACGAATCACTTCTAGTCCTATTCCTTAGTGCGAGCATGTCTTGTCGAGCGTAGAAAACCCGTCGACGTAAGAGAGGATAGACGGAGGGAACGCCATAACCTTGTTTATCCTTGATTCAGCCGCGACGAGACCCGGAAACGATCCTCCCGGTCCACGTACCGGGTCGTTTTAAATTTCTTTTTTACCCTTAGAAAGAATACGTATATTTATTTATTCGTTCGCACGATTCCGCGGGATTCTATGTATACACATGTATATACGTCCCGTTGGTTAGGTTGCTTCGCGTTCGTTGAAACAACGAACCGCACGCCGCGACCGGTATAATCGTAGTTAAAAAAAAAACAAAAAAATATCGTAGGAAATATCGAATTTTTTAGTCACGTAAGAAACCAAAGAAGCTACGTTCGCGCAACGTAAAGTCTACGTTCCGGGAGTCCTCGACCAGCCCCCTCGAGGCTGGCCCTCCCCCCCGGAGCGGAAATTAATTTTCCCCCTTCCTCCCACCCGTGTCCGCGAGCGCTTGCAAGGGGATCTTACAGTCGCCATTGCTTTTGGAAAGATAGCAAGTTATAGTATCTGGTATCAAAATACCCTGATAGGTTTCTTCGCAATTGACCCCCGTTTTCTAGGTATTTTTATTTACAGTTTGGAGGAATCAGGATTTGGTACTTTCTTTCTTTTATTATTTTGAAGCGCAAAAGTTTTATTTATTACGTATAAATGTCATAGATATCGAAGCAAACAATCCTTAAATTGTTAATACAAAAAACAGTAGTAAAATAACATTATCAAGTAAATTCTGTATTAGTAATTCCGTATCATCAGTACTGACTCATACTAATACAGAATTTACTGATAATGACTAACAAAAATTATTAACATAGAAAAGTATATATGACGTAATAAATAAAACATTTTTACCTTTCAAAATAATAAAAAATAAAGAAGTAACTTGACGGGGATTCGAACTACGATCAAACGCGTGGTAGTCAATCGCTTTACCGACTCGACCAAATCCCTGTTAAAAAAATATCTCGAAGACCGAGGTCCATCGCGAAGAAGCCATAGTTTTTTGATACCAGGTACATACATACCTATCACCTGTTTGTCCCCTCGTTGGAAGCGTCGCGTTTAATTGTTTAATTAAACGGATAACACGGGCAGCGTTTTGTCGTAAAACCTATTCCACTCTAGTCGTCGACGGGAAACCTATATTAAAAAAAAAAAAATGCCTGTCTAACACTTTTCGCCCTAGTCATTTCGTACACATCCGTGCGTGTGTGCGTACATTTTATGTATATGTGTACATGCATATAATAACAAAGAGGAGGATGAAGAGGAGGTAGAAGCGAAAGAAGATGATGAGGAGAAAAGAAAAAACATCTACGTAAACGTTTTTTTGTAACCAAAGACACAGATGGGAAAGAAGAAAAAAAAAAAAAAAAAAGGAAAAAAAAAAGCAAATTATTTTATCTAGTCAAATGAGTTCGGTACTTAATAGCGTTAAGGAGGAATGTGCATCTTTCTTCGTGCGATCGAAACACGAGAACACAACGCCGTGCAATTCGACGGTGAGACTGAACCGGAATCGCTTAATCGTTTTCGAAGCTTCGATGTCTTTTTGGTTGAATCGCGTCGACCGATTCCGATCGTTTTCTTTTTTTTTTTCTTTTTTTTTTTAGCCAATTTCACGCCTCGACGAGAGCTTCGGGATCGAACGGGGTAATCTTTATCTACCCTTCGTTTCGGTTCCTCGTCGATCGAAGATCGCCGAACTTTCCTCGGGGCGATCGAGAGGAATTTGTTGGCAGTGTTTGTTCGTCGTTTGTGGCGTCGTTCATCATTGAAACGCGAAGGATGCTCCATTTTCACCGAACATGTACTGTCTCGTACCAGAAACTCGTGCCATTCACCCGCGAAAATCTGTCTACTCGTCCGTACTGTTCCCTTTTCGACAGTATCAGGGCGTTCCGAGTTGCTCATTTGCGCGTCTCCAAGACCAGAATTTGGCCATATATATATATACTAGGTTCATGATATTAAACATACTCATGTATTTCTTAGCGTTAAGTTCCCGGAGACTTGCCAAAGATGCAAACGTTTAATTGCCCCTCGCTCTGTTATATTTTCACGTTACCTTACTTTCCTTCATTTTCGTTGCGCTTATTCGTTTTTGTTTCTTCTTCTTTTTTGTTTACGTTTTTAGTTGGTATCTAACTTAGATTCGCTCTTCACGCTAATTGTAATTTAATCCAAAGAACCATCTAGTCGGGACTATAGTCCCGAAATTAAGTACTATAATATTCTCCCCCTTTCCTTGTGCAATCACAAAGAGGCTATTTGTTCGACGAGGCAAACGGATCCACCTACGATTAATGATCTCTTGTCCGCGTTTTTTTTTTTTTCCTTTTCTTTACGATAGCTATTCTTCGCTGTATGCCAAAGTTTTTAAGGAAGTTTTTTTTCTTTCGAACGAGGTTCGTAATTAGCGCGAAACTTGATTGTTGGATGTGACGAGAAGTACAAATCGAAGCTAGTTTTTACAGGCGTCAAGATGGGAACAAATTCACGCGACTGTCGCTGATTGATCGCCGCTCGTTCGCCCTATGCCACTAATTTTAATTACGATTACGCAATTCGAGATCGATCACGGCGGGCAATCGGTATATCGATTAACTTTCTGTTCGCGGATTAACGGGATGCTTGCGTTTAAAATTTGCGGTCGCATGCGATATGTTACGTGCTTGTTACATAATTTTACGTGGCACAGACTTGCACGTTTACCATTTTAATCAACTGATTTCGACGATTTTTTTTTTCCAATCGAAATTAGCAAACATTTTTGTTAGTGGCACGAATCAGTGTTTAGTAGTGCGATATATATATTTATATTCCGTTGTACGTTGATTTAATCATATTTTTTTTTTTTCTTTTTTTTTTTTTTTTTACTTATGTTACCTTACGTTGCGATGTAAGTTAAGTTCTGAGAGGAACGCGAAAAAAGTACCATAGATACGTATACACCGTTTATTTATACTTGTGTATGGTAGACCGTATATTTAATTTAAAGGGAAACGAATGTGCACATTCCTCAGAAGCCACAATACAAATAAGTACAAGATTGCCAATTATTACTTTAGAAGAATTGATATTTCTTTCTTTGATTATTTATAAAAATAAGAACTATCTATACATAAAAAAAAAAAAAAAAATTATATATATAAATATAAATATATATGTATATAAATACATATATATATATACATAAAAATATTATAATATATCATTACGTAATCTTATGTTTGGCTTATGCGAGTTAACGATGTAAGTAAGACAACAAAAAAAAAAATGTGTGTGAATAAAGTTTCAAAATCTGAATTCAAGCGAGTCATTTTTCTTAAATAAAAAAAAAAAATAAAAATAAAAGTACGAAGTATCTTGTCAAAATTTTTGATATCGTTACGGCTCGAGTATAAGTTTTTCCACGCAAATTAATAGTCGATGAAATCGAATGAGTAAGTATGAAACGAAGATTGCGTGTGCTCCTCCTCGCAACCTGAAAAAACCGACACGCGGGAAACGTAAATTTGCTACACGTTTTACCACCGGCGATGCTATGCGCGAGATTGTTTTAGCAGTGGTTCCGTTTCGAAAATGGATACAATTGGGTCACTTTACAGCGGTTCACGTTAATCAATTTACTTGCTTCAACATCTTCACGCTTCTCACTGCCACGTCTCTCTTTTCTGTTCGAACATATATATATATATTTCACACGCTAATCGATATATGCAATCACCCGTGTGGGAGACCGATCGACCAAAGGCTGTGTCGATGCGTTAGAGAATTCAATTAGGAAAAAGAAGTTTAGCTGTTAGAAGGCGGTACAAGTATCACAGCACAGGTGGAACGAACGACTGGTCCGGTCTGTGTTGCGTGTTACTGTCCCCCCCGTAATCTGACTTGAATGTAATTGAACTAGAAAACAACAAAAAAAAAATGAATGAGGAATCGTCGGGTGACGTGGCTGTTAATGTGTTGCAGGGGGGGTGGGACGCAATCGGAAGCATGTTGGCGATACAACTGGTCAAGTGGTGATGCAGGGTCCAGGGCGTTTTTCGTGCAGACTCTGCGGAAGCGTATACAAGCACCTTGCTTCGCTGACCCAGCACCTTGAAGTGCATCGCAACCAGACAACCTGCATCCTTTGTCACACCACTCTCAGTCGTAGAACCGACCTGCGGCGTCACATGCGCCTGAAACATAACATGCAATTGCAAAAAACGATCCAGAAGCAGCGCAGCTCGAAAAACGAATTGGACTCGTAGATATTTCAGTTTCGATGCGCCCGAGAAACGTTGCTTCTCGCTCCGCCCTGGGGTTCCCCTACGTTCTTACACGCCTCGCGGTCCGGATTGATCTCTTATCCCTCGCCGAGCATCGATCCTTCTTTTTCTTTCTTTTTTTTTTCGTTCACGACGTCCACTCACAGTATTAAAAAACAAAAATCGATCGCTTCGATGCTCGCGACGAACGTACCGATCGAACGTCGAAGCGTGAAACAAGCAAGCTCGAGGACAGTAACATGGGACTTAATTTATTTATACCGATCTCAGTTTCGTAACGTCCAACGCTAGTGCGTACTCGTTTGCTCGATAACGGGCCAACAACTCCCGGATGATTTTGGAATTTTTTTTCCCCCCGGGGGAGAAAAAGGAAAATCGTTTTGTTTCGTTCTCATTCCGCGATTTGTTTCTTTTTTCCCTTCGATCGCGCAACGTTATCGAGCCGACACAGCGTCTTCGGCTCCGTAAGGATTCTAGTCATTACTGTACGGCGGCTTTGGTCGCTAAAAATCGTTTGATTTCGCCCCCCATGTCGTATCTTGACACTTGACGCGCGAACTTGATATTCCGTGGATCTCTGTTACGCGATAATAACGGTTTGCAAACAAAACTCGATAGGCGACAAATAATAGCTTTGTACGAAGCACGAGATATCCATATCAATAGAATTACAGTGTTCCGAAGTGACTCGTCGCGCGGCTAGAAACTCTGTTCGAATCTCGCGCACAATGTGCGTCGACGCGCGCATCTACGGGCGTCCCGCCATTTTGGGCGCTCCGGTTCGCGCAACGACAGGCATTCGAGTTTAACCTCTTACGCTGGAAGGTACCGTGCTACCGCGCGTCGCTTGTTGTGTGCTTGGAAAGTGGGTGAACGACGATTCAATTTCCAACGCAAGAGGTTAAATCTTCCATAGTGAACGTTCGAATGTTACACTGACTCTGTTTACACGTCCGGTTGTTCGCGTGCTCGATTTTTCTTTGCGATCCAGATGAATCTTAGCTGCTTCGAAGGAGCGCATAGACAGTGCCTTACACACGACTATCTAGTTTTACATTTTACATATTGACTTTCCAGATGTTTACCACAGTTGAACGCGTATAAGAGACTATAAGAGAACCTACAGATTTTTATTGCTTTCGCCCGGTGGCTTCGTGTAAACATTGTCTTTGTGTATCAAGTTAAACGGAAACGATACGGTTCAGGAACTTTGAAACTACGGTCACAAGCTGTTTGTTAATTTCTCGTAGAAAACTATTTTTCTATCCGTGGCATTTACCCATCCCCGTTCTTTCGTTTTTACCATCGAATCGGAGTGTTGTTTCTAAATCTTTTTTTTCGTTCGTCGCGATTGATAGAGTCGCGTCACGTTAGACGATCGTAAGAATATACGTTGTTATCGCTAAGTAATTTATCGTGTCCCAAGAATAGCAAGTAAATCGTGAAAAACTCGTGCGATGACAGAACGGGATCGATTCGCGTACGAAGATATTTCGGTGATTCGCACGAGTTTCGATGCTCTCTTTCGTGATCGTTTACGATGGTAATGAAATTTTATAAAATCGAGCTTTTTGCCCATTGTGTATCGCTTCGTAACTATCGGTTCCGATCCCACAACGATCAAACGTTATTTGACAAAAAATCTTGTATTGTAAGCCCTACGTGTACGTTGCTGTATTTATCCCAATAAATAATTAATATTTAAGAGAAGTCTAATAAATAATTATGTCTAAGCGAATGGTAAAACGCGACGGAGGCAGCGAAATCGTAATCGAAACGACGAATTACGGACATTTTAAAAAGTTCGATTTTTCTTTACTTTTTTTTTTTTGCTCGATCACTTTCATACACATTTTCAAACCGTTCACGATTACTTCTACCCTTTTGTTTCCCCGTATAAGCGTACGCGACGAATTCTTTAAAGTTTCAGGCAGCCCCGTTTCTACCACGAATAGCAAATTATACGTTTCTTGAAAGCAAAAAATTTGACCGTGTTCGTACACGATCAAGCACTTAGTTTGTAGAATTGTGTAGGTTTGTACGTAGATGTTCGCTGTTAAGAATCGCACGAAGCTTCGTTGGAGAGAGAGCAAGAGAGAAAAAATTTTGTTCGAGGTACTTTGTAAACGATCGATTTAGAATCAACGCGTTAAATTGAATGTTAAACGGAACTTGTACTTGATTGTTAGAAGGCGTTTTTTCTCTTAGTTCGTAAGCTATATAAAGCGACGGTGTGAATTTGTACCAATGTCTCGCACGATAGTTAAACGTGTTAAGGATAGTTGATTAAGTTGAATAATTTTCACGAGCAATTTACACGTCTCGTCGTCGTACCGAATGAAACGATACTTAATTTTGTCGTGTCTAAAGAACAGTGCATTTACGGGAACGAATCAGTTTGCAGTGAACAAATTTTTGTCTCACAGGCCAGTAGGTTTCGCGAAGAAACGATACGCATAGGTACCATATATTTATTTATATATACATGTATACAGAGAATTTCAGAAATACATATAAACATTTAAAAAGTTGAATCTACAAACTAAAATAATTAAAAAATACCCTACATACTTTACTTCTCCACTTACAGAATAGTATCACGTTCATTTTCTTTTTAAAATAACCTCCAAAAGTAAAAATCTCAATTGCTTCTTGTGTTTCATAAAAAGTCAGGATAAACAGTCCTATTTAGTCCAATTAAATAATTTACTAGCAATTTTAGCGTGTAGATACAGCTCCTCAAATGTTTACACATATTTCTGAAATACCCTATGTATATAAATATATGTATATACTTCAATATTTTTATTTTACACACCTAGACGCAGAGATATAAAGCGACTGTGTATACGATATGCAAAAGATATATCGTTAAATACCGTCGATAGTCGGAAACTTTTCGTTTCAGTTCGAAGAAACCTATTACGTGTATGTACTAATTGTGAGCTTGTAAGTGAATTAAAAAGCGAATATAAATCTATGCTTTAAAATGTTATTACAGCAATGTAAATAAATCGATTTACAATGGATGCTCTAGCGTTGATGTTTTTAACGAAACGATGAAACGACCACGTTTCTCGAGTCACGGAATTCGATCGTGTTTGTTTTTCTTATCGTAAGGAGGAAAGGTACACGAGGAAATACGAGACTGTTTCGATTATATTTCGTCCTGCGTGCTTGAACGTCGTGTACTTATCTTTGGTGGTGTATAACAGTATTCTGCTTTATGCTGTGTGAATGTGTTCTCAAATTTGATTACTTTCTACTGGGAATTTTCCATAACTGTGCAGATAGCTGTTTTATCGATCGAACAATACCGTGGACAGATGTCTCACGTATCGTTTCCATTTATCCGGTATTTCTTTTTTCGTTTTTCCTCGTACGAGTTCTAAAAGAACGTCCGAGTGTTTGGATTGGAGGTCCCGATCAAATAATTTCGTATCGTTAATTTGTGCATCAACAAAAGGGAGTCGTAGTTTTCGTCTATCGATTTATAGCTTGCTTTCGCTCTTCGTTAACGGGGTTTAGAAAATAGACAACGCTGAAGTCACGTTTCAATACTTTATTATCTTCTTCCTTGTTCGAAATACAATTTTGCATCAATAGATGAATGGTAGTGACACACTTATGCCTATTAATCCTTTTATGTTACGCGAACGATCATTGAACAATTTCGGAACGAATCCGAAAACACGGCCCCGGTTGAAATATTACACGCGACACGATTATTGTAGCCTTAGTTATAAGAAGAAATGAATTTATAGAGCCACACGCAAGGACAGCGCCATGGGGTTTGCATTCGCCAGGATCATTCTGCAATAAATGCGGTATAACGTTTACAACGCAGCACGCTCTTCTACGGCACATTACATCGAAACACGAGGAGCCGCGAAGCTCTACCGCGTACTGCAATATTTGCCAGCGGTTTTTCAAAACGAAATGGAGTCTGGCCACTCATAACAGCAAATATCATAGAAACTGAGATCCCTGGGTTTGTTAACTTTTTTCGTTCGGTCGACGAGCCTGTTCAAAATTCGGATCGGGTCCCGCTTCTACGCACACGTTGAGCATTTAACAAAATTATACAACACGATCCCGTCGTGTTTCGTCCGAGTACCCGCGACGAACAATTTCTAGAACCACTGGATGAAAAGATCGTTTTATTGGTAAAGCAGACACTAGGATTTTTTATGATCAAATCTTTTTTATTTAAATATTTATTTTAATCCTAGGTGTAACCGTTCGATCACATTTAAATGCTAAGACGATCGTGTGTCCTTTGTGAGTACAGCGCGCATGTATGTAACGTCGGAAAGTGTCTTACTATTTTTCTGGCTGATTTTAAAACTGAGGAATGTTATTATAAGCCTCCCCTTAATGCGAGTACCAAATGCAACACCGAACCACCTTGAACTTTATAATCTTGCGCCGTTTTTTCATCGTTCCTAGAAACCAACAAATCATTTTTGTAATTCTTATTTCTTAGTCTTAAGGATACATTCAGCTTTGCAATTCATTCGAGCAACTCTGAGTTCTATGTAACTATAAGATAGATTTCATAAAAAGAAACAGGAAAAAATAACGTTCAAACGTCCTAATTGATGGAACAGGAACAAGGAGGCCGAAACAACTATGCGACCCAGATTCAGTAAGGACTGTAGAAAGTCACTTTCCAGAGTATGTTCCGTCGACACCAAAGAAGATAAATGCTACAAGAAGATGTAAAGTTTGCGCAGCTAAAGGTTTGAGAAAGGAATCTCGTTACTATTGTGCCTATTGCAATGTAGGATTATGCGTTACACCTTGCTTCAAGCAGTTTCACATCACGTCCGACATTAAATAAAACGTTAAACCGTGTTTCTTTCTATAGAAAACAATCTTGTATAATTGTACAAATTATTCCCGTTCGCAGTTATACCTACATTTGTTTCCCCGAAAATATTAATCGCTGCTGTTGCGGTGGTATGCCTTCCTTTTCTTCCACTCTTTCTTTGATCCTTTCTACCTTATCTGTAGGTTCTATATCTATCTCGATCTATAGGAACAATAACAGTTGTGATAACCGTAAATCTCGCGTACGTCTATTTATCGTTTAACGAAACGTTTATGTAACGTAATAGTAAATGATATTAAATACTGCTATAATTTCTAACGATAAGTTTATTAACGGTACATCAAATGTCAAATTTTGTATCTTTAGATGACAACGCGGTCTTGTTAGAGGAGGTTATTTTACTTTTACAATTGTTTTTTTATTTAGCAAGTATATAATAGTAAACGTAATTTCATGCATTTATTTGCCATACTGATTAAACGTTTATAACATTTTATAGTTACTTGCCTCCTTTCCCGTTAGAGTCTGAAACAAGGTTAGAACGAGAAGTTAGAATTTTTTTCGAACATGTTGTAAATGCTTTAGCTCAAACATCGCCGGTTCTTCTTACCTTAACTTTAATCAACATTTTTTTTTGTATTAAAAGGTAATTTTAATAATGATTTCAATTCTACTAGATCAGAAATTAAAAACTATTGACGTACAGATACAACCACAGACGAGGTATACGAAACACATGCTGTGTCTCCATCTTACGACAAATTATAAATTTAAGGCATGAAATAATTTTTTTGAACAATGAACCGTAATATTTGATGTTGCGATTTATTTTAAAAATTTCGTACTTTTTAAAATATTACAAACTTCACAAGGTTATGTGTTTCGTTACGTAAATTCAATCAAAACCAAGCATAGATGTAATTAGGTAAACAAAACACTCCAATGAATTTATGTAAATAGAATATATTTATAACTTTTAGCACAAATTTATCAGTTAACGTTAATTATAGTATTACATAGCAATATATAACGTATGTTACAATGATATATTGGTATTCGTACATACATAGTTCTTAATATAAGATATTCTTTTTACAAAATGAAAGTTTGTAAATAAAAACTTTTTATTTATTACATCTTTAATTTTTCTTCTTGAGCTATCAGTTGATTCTTTATCTTCTGCAGAAGCTCCTTTTTAACAGAATCAGGTACAAGTGTCCTTGCTCTGGTCGTAACGATAGAAAGCAATTTGTCATAGGTAATGTCATGGCCGTGTTCTTTTATTAACTCCTTGCAGATTAATTTCACTTGATCTCTCCAACCACATTCGACTAATCGACGACGTAATAATTCTTTCAATCTGAAACAAAAATGATGCTTCATTATGGTACATTAAAATTTTCATATTTCTCGTATTTAAGATAACATAATTGTTACGAACGATACTTTGTCACGAGAAACATGAAATTGATATGTAAGAATCGTTCACTTAATTTTTAAATGGTATTTGAATATTCTAAATTATTATTTAATATTAAAGTATTTAATTAAAAATATTCGTAAAGGAACTTGCCCGTCGCGATCGCCAACCATAACTAATCTCTGATGCGGAGTAGTCTTCATCAAGAATTTTATTTCTGTCTACTTTTGTATTAGCGAAATTTGTATTTTCTTTTACAACTTTGTCAGTGGCAATCGTATCGGTGAACGCGATACTGTTTGGCATACAAGAAAGGTTATGTTGTGTTTTGTCTTTGAAGCTTCATAACCTAACTACGTCTCGTCTCGTACGCATCGCGAAATAACCAAACATGACCGGAGATTATGGGAGCGTTTAGTTTAGTTTTCCGTTAAAATCTGATCACTGCTGTTTATTTGCAATCCCTACAGTCTCAAGCAAGCGAAGTATTTCGTATTCGTAAGTAAATATGTAATATTTCTACAAACGTAGATGTTCGATTGTCCTGATACGAGTATGTTAGCATAGCTCGTGACGCAGTGATGATAATGATTTAAAAAGCAATATAGTTATTTTATAACATACAATACATGTTAAAAACTGTTTGTATTATAGTAAATGGTACGTGTATTCGTATTCTGTTTTATTTTAGTAATTATTTTTTGTAAATTTGATCAGAAAGTTTGTGGAAAATTATCCGTACAACCATTTCGGTATTTCGAAGTTGTTGTTGTTACTATTAGTTTAATTGTCGAGTTTTTTAATACGTACGTTGTGTTTAACAACTTTCTAGGAAATGGCTTCCGCAAGAATAATCAATTACACTTTATTTAAAAGACTCGCAACAGTATCTAGTCACGCACATATTTATTCTCATTTCGATGTAACATCCAGTGCTCGACATAGCGTATCGTATTGTACAAAGAAATCAATCGCTAAAGCAAATTCTGTAGAACACAAGAATAAAGTACAGATTGGATTTGCGGAAGTAGGTAATTTCATGTCTATATCGAACTGGGAATGGTAAAAAGATCTACATTTCTTTGAACGTCAATTTTGTTTCAGTTAAAGAGAATACAAAATCTCTTGGATATTTAGGCGTAATAGTTGGCGGTGTAGGAATCGTGGGTTTAATGTTTTATATAGTTTTCAATGAATTATTCTCCAGTAAAAGTCCAACTAAAGTTTATAGCAAAGCATTAGATCGTTGCATAAAAGATCCTAAAGTAGTAGATGCTCTCGGAGAACCTATAAAAGGATATGGAGAAGAGAGCAGACGTGGACGACGAACTCACGTAAAGTAAGAGAAAATATACATTTGTTATTTTAACCGTCGATCGTACATATTCTTGATAAATAACATATATTATGGAATTTTTCAGCCACGTAATTTTCGTAAAGGACGGGGTACAACATATGAGAATGAAGTTTTACGTCCAAGGAATAAGGAGACGTGGCACCGTTACCTTGGAAGTACAAGAAGTAAATAGTTTTTAGAATTTTGCGCAAAGTTAGCCCTTTCGTGAATCTGATCCATTGAATTTAATTACAGAACGAGTCTGGCAATTATGTGTATAAATATTTATACGTATTTATAGACGATCTAATGAGAACCGCTATAAAAATAGAAGATAACAGGGATGGACAAAAGAGTTACAGTAACGAAACCGAATTCGATTTAAGCTAATATTTTAAACCGCTTTGAGTAGTATATTTTATACATTGTACACAGGTGTGCTTATAATTATTATTTGCCTTAACTTTTATTTTTAATATATTTTAGCGAACATACAATAAAATGGCGCCTACCCTCATTCGTGAACAGCGAACTACGAAATATCCGTGAACGATTATTTATATCGAACTTCGTAATCTATTCCCGCGAAATATGTCACCAACGATATTCTTTATGGACAAATATCTTTAAATAGTCATTGCGTTTGAAAAATTCTCGGAACATTAGTTGACATGCACGACTTCATCACCTCGGTAATAACCGAGAAAAATTGAAATCGAATTGATTTTTTTAACCATAAATCACTTCGATCGTAGCTACATTTCTGTTCTTACCGTTCAATCGTTATTCGTATATTTCTCAAAATATAATTGAGTTTTCGCGAATAGTTATCGCCGGGCGATACGTAATAAAGATCGTTGAATTCACGAGTCGAAAATAATCGCAACTAATCGTGACCCGACGAAAAAATAACCTTCGCATCGCGATATATATGCCACGTGCAAAGAGATTTCGTTTAAAGTTGTCTCACGCTACTCATCGAACAACCATGCGTTAACGATAAGTAACAATATTCTTCGAAGAGATTGTCAGCTGAGACGATTTCGTGCGAAAAACCTATCGATGAATGTTTCCCGCGCATTTAGCGAACAGTACGGTTAACCCATAATCGGAATCTTGCATATCTTCCGAGATTGCTGCGATCCGTTATGGGAAGCATGTCCAAACGAAGCTTCAGGGCTTAAAAAGTTTCATCAGAAGCAGGAATGCGCGACTTTGCACGTTTCTTTGTGTCTCGAGAACGCCGCGTAGAAAGGAAACGTGTCGCGTGGGGGGTTATGGTCTTCATCCGTGGACATGTCTGACATAATATTTACTTTCTGTCGTATGATAATGATGTTCATCTGATAAAATACATGAGCTTATGTAAGAGGGTGTTTACTAACGGGAAATTCTTATGTCCAACAATACAGATCGAATCCTTGACTTTTACAGAAAAACACTTCTCCTAACAAGCTTTCATTGTACGTCGAAACACAGATATAAGTCTCCTCACCTTCTTGGTTCATTAGTGCTCGAATAAGAGCCTTTTTGTTCGATTTTTATTCTATAAAATTATTTAATCGGTAGTATGCGCGGTAAGTATAAAGTACCATGAATTTTAGGCGAGCAAGAAGAGTCGAGAGCCCTTTTACCAAGAAGCTGCATTTCAAAGAAACGCGAATAACCGTTTTCCGTTCGATCATAACCTTAACCGTCAGAAACGTATGCGTTGATTTCGAAAGAGAATAATAATCGTTATGCACGCGTGCAACACATAGGTAGTTACTGTTAGTAACCGCCTAAAAATTAACCGAAGGCTGCGGGGAGATCCCGCGTGTCGTTTGCATCATTCTCGATGCCAGCTGATTCTCTGACAGTCGCTCATCTACTTTCGAGCGGAATCGACACGACGCGTCGTCCCGATCAATTCGCGGCCGCGTTTAAAATGCGACCATCGATCAACGGAACACTTGTAAATTAATTGCAACCGAAAACACTCGTGAAACGACCACGGTGAAATCGTCGTCGTTGCCGTCGGCAAATTTATGCGAACGGTTCATTAAAAATTCTCGATTTGTTTCCTTTTTCGTCACGTGTCGCGCGCACGATAAGATAAATTATTGCTACTGGAAAACAATTTAAACGCGATCGTAACCGTTTCCAGGAATGGTGTAGTTTCTACTTTATTTTTCTACGGTGAATCGATGTTTCGACTCTACCGGGTGCCCTTGATTAATTAATTGTCGCCGCGGGACTCTCAGGTTTTCCTTCGTGGCACTCTGGTTCGCGGCTAACCGCGAAGTGAGATGATAAGCATCGACGGATAGACAGACTCGTAGCATCCATATTAAAAATAATTAAACCACGGAAACGCTTTCGTTTTCCACGCATTATGGGACTGTGCAAAATGTGCAACTGCTGCTCGTGCTTCTCGCGATTCAGAGCGGTGTTTAGACCGGAAACCGTAACCGACAGTCCTCTGAAGCCGATATGCACCAAACCGGAGTGCCTTCCACGACCACCTGCTACGCCTCTCTCAGGTAAGTTTCATCCAAACTTCGTCAATTTTTTATTTCTTCAACGATAATTATAATTCCATGTTCCGTATTTATAGATCGTAGGTCGTTGGCTTCCAAGAATTTACATTCGTACGCGTAACACCAGAAGAGACACATTCCTCGACACGTAAATCACCGCATTTTATCAATCGTATCCGAGGGGAGTTTGTTTCTTCGTTTGCCCTCTTTGGATCGCCTCTAACGCGCTCGACCCGTAATTGGACGGGGTTAATTGGCTCCAGCGACACCCGTCGGAAAGAAATCGAACGCCAGATTATTTTATTTATTATTATTTTATTAAGTTTTCGAAATTTTTTGCTTCTCAGCGCGTTAAGATTTATTTTCGAAGAACGTAACGTTCTTCGTTTTCATTTTCAGTTATTGGTTTTCGACACGTTACGAGGTGTACCGAATCGTCGATGAAGTCACCGGGTATTGCGTTAATATCTTCAACGTCGACTCGATCGGGAGAAGATTAATGAAATTCGAGAGGAGAATAATAAAAAACCGCGCTCTCCAGACACTTTGCGAAAGAAAATAAACCCCGGGGCTCGCGGCCAGATGGGAATCCTCAGCTTCCGGTTCCGTCGCAAGCGCTGCAAACGCACGGAGCTTCTTTGCTCGCATTGTAATTTGGTTCTTCTTTCGATCAGTTGAAATTGACGCTATGCAAACGTGCATCGTAGTGAATGAAAGCGAAGTTACGCAACGAGGCGCCTCGTGCAGCGAAACTTTACGTCATCTTTAATTGCGCGTACCGCTATTATTGTCGTGTACGTGCTTTTCCCGAAACGCGCGTTCGATTGTTTTTCCCGCGAGAACGTAATCTTGACTCACTTACCGCGAATAATTCGGTGACCGTGCGTTGGAAACCGTTGCTCGCAAACGGAACGCGATCCAAGCTTTTTCTCTTCCTTTATAGCTTCGAATCGCGTGGGACTCGAACGAAAAGCACCAAGATAGAGATCGAGGATGATCGTAGACTATTAATTCGCGAACAGAGTAATTTATCAGGTGATAAGCATCGTCGAAGATCCACGTGTCTTTAAAACGTTACGCCTCATCGTTGCTTCGATCTTGACGGACCCGACAATGCCACGCACCGACGGGAATGCTAATTTTTACGCAGTCGCAGCGTCGAAAAGTATTAGCATACCACGCGATTCAGTGCACAAACATTTGTCGCTATCGTGGACGATTATTTTCTTGCACTTTTGTCCGTGCATCTCGTGTATTCAACGTCAGAACCGCCGACGATATTTATTTGTTTTGTAGAAACGTATAATGTAGCGGAGATAGGCGTTTATTTGTAAATTTTAAGAAAATGGTGTTTCGTTATTTTCTCCAGACCCAGGAAATTAATATTCATCGCTAAAGTAATAAATAGATGTTTAAATATTTTAAAAGAGCACAGTTTGGTATATGACTCGGAATAGTAAAATTCATCTTTCGACTTCTATTTTCGACCAGATAACGCCCCGAAACGTACGATGCGGCGTTACTTGGAATTTTATGCAACACCTTGCATACTTTGCAAACACCTCGACGGAGTTCTGGCTCGAGCCCAATCGGGAATATTTGGCAGGAATTAGAAAAGAAAGAAACGAAAACACCGCTAACCCAAAATCATTCAATCGTTCGTTTGGAAGAATGGAGGAAAATTAATAACGAACGAATAAAAAAAATTCAAAATTTGTATTCGTTAGTTGCAACCCGAATCGCGTGTGTGGCGAGATCGACTTAATCGCGGGGACAAATCGTTTGTACACGAATGGAATAACGGATGGGGAGACACGAAGAAAGGGAACGGCCATTAAGAAAAATAATCAGAGCTACGGTAAAGAATTGGAAATTGCACCGTCTCTTCTATTCAATTATTTGTGTATCGCGACGCCTGAAAACCGCCACAGAAATGTAAATGCTATTTATTTCCGTGGCTGCAGCCTTCGACTGTTTAACACGTTCACTCACTCGAACGTTCATAATTTACAGTGACTCAAACAATTGATCAAATGTTTAATTTTGTTTTTATTTAATTGAACACATGTTAATAAGATATGTAACAAAATATTTTATTATAATTACATACATAGTTTTCATAGTTCATATAATACAGAATTAACTTAAATATGTTACACTTTTTAAAAAGAAATTAAATAACATTAACAAATGATGTAATGATCAAATTTTTGAGTTTGAAAAAATGAAATATCAGTACTTCGTATACCCTCCTTTCGCATTCAATACGGCTTCTATGCGTCTTGGCATACTATCTACTAAACTTTTACACTGTTCAGCCTTAATATTTTCCCAAGCAGTTTTAACTTCGGACCACAATTCAATAATACTTCTTGAATTTTGATCGAAGTTGGCAACTGTTCTTTTTAGTAAACCCCATAGGTGTTCTATTGGGTTCAGATCAGGAGACTGTTGGGGCCAGTCTAAAACAGTAAAACCATGAGCTGTTAACCATTCTTTGGTGATTTTTGCCGTGTGTTTAGGGTCATTATCGTGCTGAAAAATGACTTCTTCTGCGTCTCTGCTCTCATGCAACTATACTATCATTTATTTCATATTCTTTGTATTACTCTTTGGATACTTTCCCGTGACATGAAATAACCAGACTTAAAATTTATAAATGTGATAAGTAGACTGGGGATGTTTATGCATTTATGGGGAATTTTAATTCTCAAGAAACTACAGAATGCACTTAATATGCAAAAATATAAGAAATACTTAAAGTAAGATACGAATTATTATATTTAAGGGTTGAGACAATCATCTACGAAGCTCCCATTTCATTAATTCTATTAATAAAAATACGAATTTGCACAAAGATCCGCAGTCTAGTAATAAGCGTTAATTGCTCGCGCGGATTCCCGCCATTTCTCTCTCAGATTTCGACCGGAGCGCGTTAAAAGTAAAAAGTTGTCAACCTTGCACGAAAACGTCACGCGTAACGCAACATCGTCACCGATGAGAGCTCGGTATCAGTCATCCGTCATCGACCGTTACGGATAATCCGGATTCTAGAACGCTTGTGGCCAGCGTCGTTATTTTTAATCGAAAACAATGCATGTACCGTACGCGCCATAACTTGGGCCGCTGTCCGTCGAACCGACACCACTGAAAACGGCCATCGGTTTCGTACGAAACCGGTCCGAAGTGGCCCAGGGTACTTTGTAACGCGATCGTTTGACACGATATTTATTATATAATTAGTCCCGAGCACCGACCGCCACGTCGGTTATTACGTAATTAATCAATATTTACTGCTAATTGATCCACCGGGATATTATAATCGCGTTAATGGATTATTATATCTGACGGGATGGGATAGGATCTTCAATTACCAAACTTCCACCGATCGTAAAGGCTCCGGCGTGAGATTGTACGCCGGGATCGATAAATCTTCTTTCGTGCGTCTCGCTTTTCCGACGAATCGCGTCGTAATCGACGATGGATCCTCCCGTTCCTCGATCTTATCCGTTGACACGCCGTTAACGCGTGTTTTGCGGAAACACTTATCCATAGAGTATTGTTGCAAGCGAAATAAATCGTTTGAACACGGTTTTCCATTATCCGTGAAGTCACGTTTCCGTCGTTTTGTTTATTCGACAAAGTATCCTCCTCGAGCATGTCGCGGATGATCATCGAAATAGAGTCTCGCGTCATAGGCAGATCGTTTCAGAAAATAAAGCAAACATCGTTTGCAACGATTCCCGCGGTATCGAGGAAGAAATTTTCATCGTCGAGATTGCTCGAATAGTTAGCGTAATTGGCTCTACGAGCGCGGATAGAGAAAACAGAAGGTTGACGTAAACGTCTCGCTGGAACGTCGAAGGGAATGCCTAGTCAGCCGGAACGCGTAGTTAATTTTAGCGTTTGTAATTTCGAAAAGAAACGTATGCAATTTCCCTCCGTCGCGGACACGATTATATATCGACGTAACTAATCCCGCGTGGGGTGTGGCAAATCTTGGACAATTTATATCGAATCCTCTGTAATTGATTCTGAATACATTATCCCGGCAATAGACGGCTGGATACGTATTAGGTTGGTCGGTAATTCAGCGCCATTTTTATTCGATGACCTGTTAAGCCCCGTCGTAAGATCCGTGATATTTGTTGGATGTTAAAAACTTAGCACGAATCTAAAGTCTTTGGCGGTATTTCGAGAGAAGTGGTTCGGTAAATTCAAGAGCGAACGAGAAAATAATACCGAGATAACGAATCGAGGTTGCTCCAGAGCGAGAGGCGCTATTTGGGGCATAGTAAGTGCGTCACGTACGCGGTTAATTCGTTCTGGGAGCTTTCGTTGCGGGTCAAAGTGAAGAAATACGCGATGCACCGCTGGGGAAAAGAAAGAGGTGCACCTCCGAGTGCAAGAAATTAAACTCACTGCCTTTGATCTGGGCCTTAAACTTGGCATTGTTGTCAGTTTTGATTGCACGATATTGGAACAATTTCCACTGTGTGTTTCGTTGCAATGCTCACGGTACTCAGTAGCCTTTCAATTTCTTTCAAAAATTAGTTAGAAATCCCCGTTACGATTCCACCGTCGATCGCGAAACGAGACTTATGGAATCACGGTCGAATCCTTCGTTGAAATCGGGTGACGGTCAATGCGAACGAGACCTCGTTTCTCCAGTTCGCAAGACGAGACTCCGATCCACGTTTCTATCCATAAACGAAACGCGATTCGATCGTTTGTTTACACCTGCAGATTGAGTCGTAGCGGACAATTACTTCCATATGGAAATTACGCAATTATCAATTTCCAAGTTCGACGAAACGACACGTGGCCATTCCTCGATCACCTCGATCGCCTTTCGAGGCGTGTGATGACTTTCCACCCGACGGATGATCGAACGCCGCCTTTCGAAAGCGTCATTAACGATCGTCCGGTATCGCTTTCGCGGAATCAATCGAATCGATTGGAAACGAATTACGAGAAATAATTGTCAGGAAAAGTAGGCGACTGCCTACCGGTGCACCGTAGTCATCGATGACACCATGTATGGCCGCGTTTACCGATGCAGAGAAGTCCTTGACTGGCCTCCTAGAACGCGGCAATCCGCCCGACGCCGCGCGCCGCGACGCTCGTTTCCTGCCACCTCGTCGACGGGGAGCGGTCATTCAGTGATTTCACGGAACTCCACGGATGTAAAAGACCTCGGTGCAATTCCCGCCGATGGATTCAGTCTTTGGTTTCTTTTCGAGAGACAAGCTCGCCTTGCCCAAGCCTCGAACTATGTTTTATAGATTCTACGATCGTTACCGGCCTTTCAATGACCGCAGCTTCCGACCGTTTCCGTTCAGGTTTTACTGTGAGTGATCTCTTTCTCTGGTCCCTTGATCCTAAGTTCGATCGTAGATACCCGGTCCTTCCAATTACCATCAACCTTTCGTTTCTTTTAATTGTCCAGCGTGGAATGTAATTCACCTTCGACCTTATCTCGATCGTTCTTGGCAGATTGCCACGCGCGAACTTAGTAATTTCAACGTTCTCCGGGCAAATCTCGTTACGCAACGTGTGTGTGCTCGTCCATCCTCGAACTGACGAAAGTTTCCTTCGCAGGGGAGGACTACGACGTTCCAGTTCTGACGGTTTCCGGCGTGGATCCGTGCATGGCGGAGAATGGAGACAAACACTGGACCTCGAGATACGACTTGATGTCGAGGGATGACAACCAGGCCAGGCTAGTCGTCAGACGGGGACAGGAGTTCTACTTGCACCTGACTTTGTCCAGAGACTACGATCCAAACATCGATGGTATGTCGTTGGTTTTCACGTTGGACGGGATCGAGAAACCGCAGTACGGTCACGGGACCCTCGTCGCGACGCCTGTGCTTTACCCGGGCGAAGTCTCCGGGGGCTCCTGGCAAGCCACCGTCGACGCCGTTCAACCTAATTTTCTACGATTAAAGGCAAGCAAACCCTTCATACAGGCTCCTTTGTGAGCTTCATTTTTCGACGAAATTAAAAAACTTCAAATCCTTCTAAAAAAATTATAGTCGGTTGCGGGGGTCCATTACAATCATTTTATATGAATAGACATACCCTCGAAATCCTAACCAGTTTCGAGGAAAAAATTCGATAATTGAGTGAATTTTTCGGCAAAATTACAAAATTTCAAATCGTTGTAAAAAAATTATATTCGGTTGTGGGGGTCAATAACAATCATTTTATGTGAATACACATACCCTCGAAATACTAACCAGTTTCGAGAAAAAAATTCGATAAGTGGGTGAATTTTTCGGTAAAATTAAAAAACTTCAAATCGTTCTAAAAAAAATATTTCTCATTCCGAGGGACCATTACAATCATTTTTGGTGAATAGACATACCCTCGAAATCCTAACCAGTTTCGAGAAAAAAATTCGACAAGTGGATGAATTTTTAGGCAAAATTAAAACATTTCAAATCGTTCTAAAAAAAATATTTCTCATCCCGAGGGACCATTACAATCATTTTTGGTGAATAGTCATACCCTCGAAATCCTAACCAGTTTCGAGAAAAAAATTCAATAAGTGGATGAAGTTTTCGTCAAAATAAAAAAATTTCAAATCGTTCTAAGAAAAATATTTCTCATTCCGAGGGACCATTGCAATCATTTTTGGTGAATAGGCATACCCTCGAAATCGTACTCACTTTCGAGAAAAAAATTCTTTACTGAAAACATACCCTGTGGCCAGACATGTTTCCCCAAATTGATCGATCCTTTCCAATCAGATCGTAGCGGACCCGAACGCGATAATAGGCAAATGGAAGATGGACATAGACACCAAGAACAGGAACCTGGAGGGGGCAATCAGCTACACGATGAAGAATCCGTTTTACTTGATCTTCAATCCGTGGTGCATAGGTATGTAAATTGGAATCTAAAGAAGGCAAAAAGTGATAACAATTCTTTGGTTGTTTCTCAGACGACGTAGTGTACATGGAGGACGAAGACGAGAGGCAGGAGTACGTGTTGTCGGAGGACGGTTTGATATGGCGGGGAAGTTACAATCGCCTGAGACCGACGGTTTGGAAATATTCGCAGTTCGAGCGAGATATATTGGACTGCGCTCTGCATCTGATGACCGAAGTCGGGAAAGTTCGAACATCTGGCAGAGGCGACCCCGTCGTCATATCTCGGATTTTGTCCGCGGCTGTGCGTACTCGTGAACCATCAAGACGAATCCTCCTCTCCACCCTAACTATCGCAGTGATATTCTCGTTTCAGGTGAACTCTCCGGACGACAGCGGGGCGGTGATGGGCAACTGGTCCGACGATTTCGGCGGAGGCACACCACCGACCAAGTGGATGGGCTCCCAGAGGATCCTCCAGCAATACTACAAGACCAAAAAGCCGGTCAAGTACGGTCAGTGCTGGGTGTTCGCGGGCGTCTTGGCCACTGTTTGCCGGACCCTGGGTCTTCCTTGCCGCGTGGTGACCAATTACGCCAGCGCCCACGACACCCAGAGCAGCTTGACCGTCGACTATTTCGTCGACGAGGAGGGGAAAATCATGGAGGAGCTGAACAGCGACTCGATATGGCAAGTAACTGTTAAACGATGGCGATGTACCTAGGCTTAAGAGCTGAAAGGTGGTCAGCAAGTGGTGATCATTGTTAATCAAATGCTCACCATTGGCCAGTAGAAGTCAGTGGTGGTTTCGATCTATGATACAAATGAAATAACATAGCGAAATTCTTGTCACGATTAGTTTGTCTGCTGGTCGTCGTTTACCAACTACCAATATAGGGCTTCCTTGTACGCGCGATCCTAATGTCTTTCATCTCGATTTCGCAGGAACTTCCACGTGTGGAACGAGGTTTGGATGAAGCGAATGGATTTGTCGCCGGATTGTTCCGGGTGGCAAGTGATCGATGCGACTCCTCAGGAGTTGAGCGAAGACGCGTACCGTTGCGGGCCGGCGTCCGTGGCCGCCGTGAAAAAGGGCGAGGTTCTCCGTCCTTACGACAACGGTTTCCTCTTCGCCGAGGTGAACGCGGACAAAGTGTTCTGGCGGTACAATGGACCGACCCAGCCGCTCAAGTTGATTCGAAAGGACGTGTACGGGTGAGTCCCGGAACCTCCAGATCGCCAGGAATCGAAACACGGACGTCTTATTCTTTGCTGGCTTTCAGGATCGGCCAATTCATCAGCACGAAAGCGGTCGGGAAATGGGCGAGGGAGGACATCACTCATATGTACAAGTATCCCGAAAGTAAGCGTTACTGTGGCGTCACCTCCCGTATTTGCCACCAGAGGGCCACGCTCTTGACTCTCTCGCAAGCGCTCGATCCACCTTTCGCCATAGTTATAACACTGGGTTGGTTTCTGTCCACAGAATCGGACGAAGAACGAGCTGCCATGCTGAAGGCGTTGCGTCAAAGCCAGTCACTGTTCAGTCGTTACTATCTCAACGAGGAGTTCAATGATATTATGTTCGACTTTGAGCTTCGCGACGACATCGTGATTGGACAACCGTTCAGGTTCTCTCTCGATTTTCCTTTCTATAACTTATCAAATATTACACTCTAACCCAAACCATCGTTGTATGCTCAACAAGAGTTGTTTCACGATTGCAGCGTGGTGTTGCTGATAAAAAATAGAAGCAGCTACAACGAGTACCGGGTGTCCGTGATATTGAGGGTGGAAACGGTCCTCTATACCGGTCGTGTCGGCGAACCGGTGAAGAGATTGAACGTCGATCGAGTGGTGAGACCGTCGGTTCTCGACGAGGTGCGATTGGAGGTCTCTTGGGAGGAGTACGGGCCCCGATTGTTGAACCAATGTGCGTTCAATATCTCCTGTTTGGCCAACGTGAGGGGCACTAATTACGAGTACTTCGCTCAAGACGACTTCCGCGTGAGAAAGCCGGACATTAAAATCATGGTGCGTATCTTGAGTCGTTTCGTGGGCTTAACAACCCTTTTCCAGCAGCCATTTTGTGGACCACGAACGTTAGGGAAACGCAAGAAAATAGTTACAGATTACTTTGATAGGTATAGTACAAGTTTTATTTTATGGACAATTCTGTTTTGCGTAGCTGGAGAACGCCCCGGTGGTCGGTGAGACGTTGAACGCGAAGGCCAGGTTTAGGAATCCGTTGCCAATCCCGTTGAAAAAGTGTAGATTCTTGATCGAAGGGCCAGGCTTGGACGAGCAATTGAAGCTGAAACTGACGGAAACGGTGGAGGTGGACGCCTACGCGGAGTGTTCGTTCTCCATGGTGCCAAAACACGCGGGTCGCGCGACCATCGCCGCGAAATTTTACTCGAAGGAGCTCGAGGACGTGGACGGTTTCATCAACTTTATGGTGAAACCGTCTAAACCTATCGCGAACGGCGACTAATTCCACGGTACATACTCGTCTTCTAATTTATTGAGCGAATAATCGCCAAATATGTGTTCGTACGTCTTCCACGAAGCTTTTAAGTGTTTATATCTGTTATTTTGTATGTAATAAACGACCAGAGTATATGGTGGAATAGCTACTCTAGGGAAAGGAGCGCGTCCCATAGTCGTAAGATTTTATATTTATATTTATAATCAAAATCGTTGAGCTACCCTTTCTTGATGAATTTTTAATTTTACTTGACGCTTAGATCGCGACGATCTATAGTTTTATATTAACAGTAGTAACGCCGACTCCTTCCCCGATTCGGTTACCATAAATTGCATGACAATATTTTAATAATATTTTGTACTAATACACCGCGCTGGGAATTGTATTTGCGAAAGGTGCGAATCCACGAAGATATCAATAAATAATTTCGAAGGATATCGGCTCGTTAAACGACACGAATAATTTAAAGGGGGGGGAATATCTGAAAGCTTCGACTCGAGCGATAAAAGTTCGGGATCGGGTAGCGTTTCGTTGATACTCGTTACGCGGCGTCGATGTCGTTCCGAGACGAGCTGACAAATGGCGGACATTTCGAGCAAAACGGGTAGAAGCGCAGAACATACCGGTTCGAGGCGAGCTGCTGCGTCCGAAGGCAATAAAAAATTCAATCGACAGAGAACTACCTGAGCGGCGTAACCGGGACTACCGGCTACGCGCAACGGGCGATATTAACGAGCGGCAATCAAGGGAGTCGCTATGTCGAGCGCGCGATTATTCGGAATAAGAGTCGGGACGGTTAAAGAGCGGATCGAACGAGCGTAGAGAAAGAAGACGGACGCGAGGCTGGAACGGCCGGGACGATGATGAACCTTCACGACCGTACGCACGACACTGACGCGAGCCATGCATCACCATCTAGGAAATTAATGTTGAAATATAGCGGACGATGAATGGGCAGCGCGATAGCGATGGGAGCTCGACGCGGTGCGCGAGGTTTGTCCGCGCCTCTGAAAAATAGAGGATCGCGAAACTGGAACGAGAAAACGTTTCGCGATCGTTTCGAGGGAATCCGCGCGGCTCGTATCGATTAAGACGGCGAACGAGTGGGATCGACGAAAGGTCGATTTAGAGATCCCTCGAACCGGCTATATCTTCTTGTTCGTTGCGAGCTGCGTTTCGATTTACCACCGTAAGACGGGAACCGGGTTGAGCGCGATCTGGCGGCGGCCGCGAGGAATGCCCGGGGGGAGGGATATCGGTCGCTCGAGGTAATATTTCCGGCGGCGGATTCCCGAGCGCCGATCGAGGGGGCACGGAGAAAGGGACCGGGCAACGATAAGCTGGTAGCAAGTGAAGACGAATACGCGGTATCGTAGAAGGGGGAAGAAAAATGGTGAACGAAAGGTCAGAGAGGAAACGGGAGAGGTGGAGATGGAACGAGGGAACGACGGAGCGAGGAAGAACGATATGGTAGATAGCAGTGAGATATGTCTAAATACATAACCGTGACACGTGATGGACGTGTTGCGGCCCCTGTCTACAGGGGTCTCGTGGAAGCCTACGGGGCCCGTACCGATCTCCATTTGGGATCCACGGGATTCTGGACTCGGCACCCTGCTACGCGCTATGCATCAACACCCAAGATCCATCCCATTATACCTCATCAAAATAACAAACACGCCTTCCATGCTAAACCAACATTCTTTTGTTCCCATCGAATCCCGGGATCCATCAGAATCACCGCGGACAGTGCGTCAGTGACGTATATGCTTTCGTGTAGCCAACGACCATAGGGGGTCTCCCACAGGCCCACAAGAATCCGAGAAGATACCGTGAAATATTGTACGACGCCGCGAGCTCGAGGCTGCGACCCAGCTTTCCGAAACTTACTCCTCGGATCTTTGCCAACCGCGATACAAATTCGATCGACTTTTCCCTTTATCGCCCGTAAAAAATTGTATATTAACATTTGTTCCTCCCTAACTGGAACTTCATTAAACGTTCAGGTTTAACGTACCAAAGAGACACAAAGTAATTAAAAATGCGTTGCTAAAGTAAGGTTAGAGGGAGCAAATGCAACGACTATTAAACATAACCTAGAGTGGCACGGATTCCCCGTAAAAAGCGGACCGATTATACCTATGTGACGTCACGTGTAATGTGACACCGGTCTATAGATCAGGCTTTATTTGTTTACGCGGACACGGCACGCAAAAATCATCGTTGTCGCTCGTACGTGACGTTAGTTTCTCACGGGAATCGATGCGTCACGTACACCGTGACGTGTCGTGGAAAAAAACTGTTAAACAATTTAGTGGTATCTACAACTGATGACGTTTCACCTGCAAATACATTTCCGCGTGTCAACGTGTACGTTACTTTCAATGCGATTTGCATGTTCGAATTAAATAAAATTGCGATATAAACATTTTTCTATCGTAATACGAAGGACGACCGAGACTCGCTCGTGACTGAAACGTCCATCGATGTTACATCAGTATTTCACTGATCGTATCTCTTCTCACGAGCTTTTCTTTTATTTCAGAAAGAAAGTACTTACATACGCTCATTCCTCGACCGACAGACCCGAATTTGTCGAAGAAGGAAACACGTAAAGGGTAAAATCGGTTCAGCGACGCGTCCCTAGATGGCAGCACATACCTCGATTCACGAAAGCTCCAGCACCCTGACAGAACTGTCCCGTAACGTTATCTCGACTCTTTACCTAATCATAAACAAACGATTTTATTTATCTATCCGTCCGTTACATTCTCGAGAATCTCGCGAAAGAGAAGACGTGCCTAGTTATGGCGAGAGGGTGATAAATGTAACTGACGGATAGCCAGACGCCATTAGAGCGACATCTGATAATTTACTGGCGATCGTATACAACGATATCAAGATCACACCGAACGAAACCTAACCTAACCACTCGTAAATTCGATTCCGCGTTATCGCGAAGGAACTTAGAATTCCCTTCGAAGGTATCCATTGTTTTCTGATTCGACGCGGTAGCCTCTTAGAAGTTGCGTTTCAACGTCGATCGCAACGTTGCGCATTCAGCCGCGTGCACGTGTAAGTAATGTTTCCTGTCATCAGGAAAACTCTCTGCAGTAAAAGTCTCGAAACGGTTACTGCCTTCCCTTTTACGTCCCCGGGCCCTTTACTCCTCGCGATTCGTCCCTCCAACGGAGAGAAGGTGCACGTTCTCTCCGATTCTCGAAATTTATTTCCCGGCCGAACGACGGAACGATAATTAGAAAACGGTAAAGCGCGGCAGGATACGCTCGACGATTTCGATCGTCGTGGATCCGTTCCTCGACACTTCCACGTGTTTGCTTTTCTCCGTTCGACCGCGGATTCCCCCCGCCGCGGTTACGTTTTGTCCAAACAAGGGGTGAACGACTGCGTAACGACGAGAAGAAAGGTAAAATTCGTCGGGTCGACGCTCGTCCGCCTCGACACAATGTTCCCGCAGAATGGACCCGAGGAGTCGACTGACCCGTGCCCTTTGTCATCTCGCGACGCGATCGTTTCGTCCACGGTGGTCCTCCATTCTCGATTTTCGCGTTCTCGAAATTCTGACGCTTCACCGCGAAAATAACTCGTAGGTTATTAGTTTGAGAGATCATTAACAACGTTACTGTGGCTCCCTGTACTCGCCACCAGAGGTCCATACTCTCTTGTCTCTCTCTCGCAAGCGTTTCGCTGACCTTCCGTCTCTATATACGCTTCTCGATTGATCATCCAATATCGTCATCAAAGGCAGGGCCTCCTAGAAAGCCTCACCGACATGTAGATTTTTTCTACCTTTATATTTAATATAAATTGTATCGAATAGAATCTAGTAAGCGCTTGCATAAACTTTAGATAGCCCCAGGATGAGCCTATTTGATAGATAACAGAAAGCTAATTTGAAAAGTAGGATGCGTTTTGGGGCACGGTTGACTTGGGAAGCCTCCGCCGCGGCGTATTTAAATCTAATTTGCATCGGGACAAGCGGAACGGTTGTTTACCCACGTTCATGTCGAACAGTTGCGACCGGCTGGCGTATTTGCGCAAGGATTTCGGTCGACGGCGTAGAAAGGAGCGGCCACACTCCGCCTTTCTGCGTGCAGTCGAGCGAAGGGTGGTGTATCGAGGGATCGTAGGAGGGATCCCCGAAGACGAAAACAGGGAGCCCCGGAGAGAAATGGCGCGTTGCCTTATTACGCATGCACCCCGTTTCGTGAAAGCCCGACTCGTCCGCTGACTGACTGACTGATTGACTTACTGACTGACGCATGGGTATAACTGTGTAAATTATTCTTTAATATAAATACCGGTAATCTCGACGTTGTTGATGCCATTGGATTACTAATTTCCTCCAGTCTGGAGAGATTAGCTTGCTGACCAAGTAGGTCTACGTCACCGATATAGTAGCTAGCCCTGTTTTACAGATCTGGGAGCTACATTAGTACGTTTTGGCAACGCTTGTCCGCGATTGTAATCCGAACGTAGACTCGAGATCGTAGACGAAATCTTTTCTAAACGCGTACACGGTAAATGGAAGCTGTTGCCTCCGGTTTTAACCGGCTATTATCAAAAACGGACAGGCGGCGAGCGAGTTGGTCGGGCGCTCGAGGCGAGGTGGGCAGTTTCGACGATTTCACGCGCAATTGGAATACGAAAAACGTTTGGGGGAAACGACGAGGAGCTGCCGTGCCACGGCACCATGGATGCTTGTTAGCGGTTTAGGAAAGCTGACGAGCTGCGAGGTAACCAGGGTAGATTGAACCGGTTCACGAAATCCGAGTTCAAAGGATATATTTACCGCGGACAAAAAGAGCAGAGGACAAAGGAGGAGCGAGAAACGGTTTTCTAATACGGCGCGCGGCTGACACGGCAGACGAATCGCGTGTCAACGTTTAGCGGAAGGAATCGTGGGCTCGTTTAGGCACTCCCGTCTGAGCATATGAAAAGGCGAAGCGCGCGGTGCCCGAGGGAACGCGGGGCGGCCATTGTGCCGGCCAT